GAACAAGAATCTTGAATAAAAGAAATAAAGGATCTAAACAGATTACATTGTTTGCCCTAATATTATATTTAGTTATTCATGATGAATGAAGAAAAACAAATAACAATAATGGAGTACATCATCGGGTTTTGAATTTAGATGTAGAGAAGTTGATGAATCTTGTATCAAGTTTCTCTTCTCAATCCAAATCTTGATTTCAACCCCTTGAATTGTTGTTTTTTCCGCTTAAATTTACTCTCTAACTCTCGCATTGTATATTGTACCCTCAATGAGTGGTACCCCTTTTGAAGTCCTCAATTCTTATATTTATACTCTCCTTCACGTCCTCCACAAATTTGGAGTCTTTATGGGCTAAAACGGAGTAACCTTAGAAAAAATGGTACAGTGCCTAAGCGCTAGGAAGCAATGCCTAAGCATTGCGATGAAAAATAATGCAACGCCTAAGCGCAAGGGATAGAGATTGGGCATTATGGGTGCAGCACCTAGGTGTTACCTTTCTGTCCAATAATTGCTTCTTTCTTCGAATCGTAACGCCTCGACGATATAAGTGCAACGCCTGGACGCCGACTTTTTTGCTCCAAATTCTTTGATTTTGGTTTCTTTGCTCCAAAATTTATAGGGGTTAGACCCCTAGTATTCAATCATCACCAAGCTCATACCAAAAAGTGAAAGACACTCCACATTATCTTTTTTACGTGCATGAAATCATTACAGTCTTAAATTATTTCTTTCACCAGTAAGAACACCCAAAATTATAATGTTTATGGTTAAAGGATGTTGTGAATCATGAGTTAAAAGGTCAAGCACTTAAATCATCTATTTAGCCTATATATATGGACCTTCATGTTATTGTATGGCGCTAAACTTAATTTACAGTGCATAAATATTGTATCGTTTCACATAGATAGGCAAAAAATTTAACTAAAGCACATGATTCATTCACGGCCTAAAACTGATGCATGCTCTCAAGTATATATCCATCATAGCCGACAAAACTATCTAACTCACACAAACATGCAAAAAAACAAATTTAACACAATGATATCACACAAACATAACTACTACAAAACAGACGACGACATTTAACCACGATGATTCTTCCCCTCCCCTCCAAATTTAAGACATAAAATTGTCCCTAATGTGAATAAACACTTAGGAGGGATAGGACTTCCCTGAATACATTAGTGGGTGTTATTGCCATCGCCCGGGTGAGGTGGATATGGATGGGTTTCCGGTCATGTTGTTGTCCACACTTGAGAATCTTCCTACAAAAAACACAACGAGAATGTTAATGAAAATAAAATAATCAATCCTAAAACTAAAAACTAAGCAATAAGAAAGGGATAAATCTTGGGTTGCCTTCCAAGAAGCGCTTCTTTAATGTCATTCGCTTGACTTGTAGCCATGATTGATTATAGTGGCTCGAACCAAATTATGTCCTCCTTGCACTTTGTACAATTGTCATTTGTGTACCCTTTCTTTACTCCTTCATATTTTGACATTTCCATTTTCATCTCTACAAAGAAGTCCATCAAAATTTAATTTTCTATTCTGATAGCTTCTATGATCGGGTGGCTCTTTTTTATCAATTCTACAACAAGCTTTTATGTTGGGAGGTTGCTTATATTGGATACACATTGAAAATCTTTTGCTTGTCCTCCACCTTTAATATTAGTTCACAATTCTCCATGTCAATCAATGCTCATCCCATTGCTAAGAATGATTGACCCAATATTAAATTTCCTATTTTTATGAATATATCATCAACTTTGCTACGTGGCCTTAAAATTGTTCTATCAATTAGTTGTAGCGTTATTGATGTTGGTTTGACTTTACCTAGTCCCAATTTCCCGTAAACAAAATATGACATTAGATTTAATTGGCACCTTTGTCATATAATGCATTAATAGAACAAGAATTTCCAATTTAAATTGGTAAAGTAAAACTCCCTGGATCTTTCAACTTGGAAGGCAATCTGTTTTGTATTCTTGCACTACTTTCCTCCATTAATGCCACAATTTCAAACTTTGAAAGATTTCTATTCTGTCAACATCTCCTTCAAAAATTTCGTGTAGCTCGTAATTTGTAATACCATATCAATGAATGGAATATTGAGCTGGAGCTTCTTGAGAACATTGATAAAATTTTCAAATTTTGTGTCTTGTTTTTTCTTCTTGAGTCTTTAGGGAAAAAGAATGGAAGGTACATAAGCCTTGACTGGACTTAGTGCCTTGGTAGTAGACGTTTCTGTACTTTCTTCATTTACTATTGAGGTTGGTGATGATTATTCTTCCATTGTAGCTTCATCAACCTCTTCCTAATCATCTTTTCTTTCTAGCATTTTCACAATAATTTCTGCTAATTGTACCCCATTCATTATAGTTATAGCATGAATCTTTTTCTCCATCGACTTTTTTTGAAGTCTTTGGGAAAATGAAAGTGGAGATATATATGCTTTAACGTTTACATGAGCCCTGGGTGGATCATTTTTTACTACTCTCATTGCCATCAGCTGATCATTCAGATCCGTCATTGTATTGCGTGGCAATGACCCGATAGACGTTCTGCAAGTTGTTAAGCTATCTGACCAATTTGTGTTTCCAACTTCTTGATAGATGCTTGCTGATTTTTAAAAATTAGTATCAATCTGTTGGAATACTTCTTTGTTAGCTTTTTCCACATATTGATGGAACATTTCTCCTAAACTCGGTTTTCTCTTTTGGTGGACATTATTTCCATGTGTTGAAATTACAAGAGCCCTTTTAAATAAATTTTACTTGTTTCTCTGAAGAAACAAGTATCATGCAATTTTCTACAACGTGATTTCTCCCACAATTCTCTCATGCTGAACTGCCATCACTGCATTTACTCCACGTGTTTGCAATTTTACAAGTAACTCCACTTACTTTGTCAAAGCGGCAATCTGTGTATTGGTGGAATATCCATGCTATCTAATTCATACATTCTAGCTGCTTTCAGTGGTACCATACTTTCTGATGAGAATATTGAATGTGTAGTGGCAATTAATTTAAACAATTCCATGCATTGTTGATCTGATTAGCCTATGATTATCCGCTAGTAGAGAAACCCACTTGAGATTTTGACAATGGTGAAAGTCTAGTGTAGAAATATTGCACTTGATTTCCAATGGTGATCCCATGATTTGGATACTTCCCTTGAACATGTTCCATGCCTTGTGATAGCTCTCTATGTCCGTCTGTTAGAAAGTTCGAGTTTTCAATCTGATTTTTGCTACCTTCATTGGTAGGAATAATTTGTTGCAGAATTTCTTAGTCAAATTCTTCCCATGTGGTAATGCTTCCATGAGATTTAGCATCTAACAATTTTAATGCAGCATCTCACAATGCATATGGAAATAATCACAATTTGATAGCATCTTCATTAACCCCTGGAGCATGACAATTCTGACAATTCCTAAGAAATCTAAAAATATGTGTGTTCGAATTTTCATAAGGCAACCCGTAGAATTGGAAAGTATTGCTCATCAAATTGATTCAATATTTCCTTGTCTGAAAATTATTTACCCCAAAATCTGGATACACTATTCTAGAACGCAAGGGTGCTGCTATAGACGTAAAGAACATTGAGACTAGCAAATCCCCTTCATTTATCGTTCATCGCTTATTTTGCTGATCCGGTAGAGCCGCTATTCTTGCTACCACTTGTCCAATTGGTTGAATAGGAATATAGATGTTTTGATCGTCAGCCATATGATGTTGATGCTTTTGTTTGTGTTCTTTGTGTCTTCGTCTAAAAGTAGATTCTATTTATGAATCAAATAATTCAAAATCGTCGCCTTGGGTATGGAGCATACAATGAACACACTTTTATATAAATAAAAGAAAATAAACAAATCAAATAATAGTTAAAGACAAAATAAATAAACAAAAAAATTAGTCCCCGACAACGGCGCCAAAAACTCGTCGCGTTTTTTTCTATGACAAATGTACAATATCGAACAAGTAGTATAATGGACCTTTGAGTCCGAATTATCGTTTCCACAAGAACTATACTTTAGAACTTAATCTAATTTTTTTAACTACTATTGAGAAAAGCAAATAAAGATTTGAATGTTATGATTTTTAATCTAAATACGTGAAAATTTCAAGATTGCACACAAAAGTCGGTTGAAGATTCAAATATTAGATGGATATTAGACTTAACACTTTCATCTATTGATCACCTTTAAATCTTAATATCATATTCACATCTAATGTAGTGTTCGATCGAATTCTTGTATTGTATTCAATTTACCCATCCCGAGTCCTCATTGAGCCAATTTAACTAATTCAATTTCATATCTTTATGCGAATCAAGCTTAGTTAAACGAAACATGGTTCTAAGAATTCATACTTGAGTCCAGTGCCTAGGCCCTACCTTTTTGTCTAAAAAATGCTTCCTTCTTTGAGTCGTAGCACTAGGACGCTATGGGTGCAGTGCCTGGCGTTGACTTTCTACTTCAAAATTTTTTTATTTTGGCTCCATTTTAGTACCCTTTTTTACATCAACTCTCATAATCTTCAAAACAACATTAACAAACACTCAAAAATGTTCTATACTCATAAAATCTAGCAACTAATCACATTAAGACACCAACAAACCTCCGATGTGATAACAAAATTTATTTCCTAGAGGCCAAAAGTAACACCTTTTTCTAAGTTTAGTCTAAGTCTAAGCCACTTAAATGTATTTACGGAATAAAAAACCAGAGGTAAAACTGAGAAAAGGTGAAGAGAATGAAGAATGACTGAGATTAGGAACCTATTTGATAGAATTTATTTGGGAATAATGAATTATTAAATAGTATGTTTTGGAGAATGTGTGGTTAAAAGTGAGGAAACTTTATTGGTTTATGTGTATAATATTTTATTGTGTATATATGTTAAAGAGAATGATCCTATAACAAACAATTTAAATTTTTAAAGGATGACAAACGGGCTAGAAATGCGGTCACCACTCTCTTCCAAAACATGGAACAGTTTGTTCGAAAATAAAAAAATAAGGTAACTTATTATCCAATGATAAGTAGCAATTCCTTCAATTAAATTATCATAAAATGAGAGACTGAAATGACTACTTCCGACAATATGACGGTTACTCTGTTACATCTGTACACGTGAGTGATAGAAGAGGATGACTTAGAAACAACAGAGAATCTCCTTGTGCCTTTGCATTCTGCCTACAGCAGCCTTTCTTTCTCCAGTTGCAGATGGCTTTGCTTCATCATAGAAATTTGCTGTGCCTTCAATTCTGTGCTCCGACTCCTGACATTTATTAGGGTCGGGTGCTGACCTGGTTAGGAATCCTTCTACTGCATGCTTACTTCCAGTACCACTGTATAGATCCTAGGATAACATTTCAAAAGGGAAAAATCAACAGTGCTGCAAATCGGTAATCTGCTGCATAAGAAATGAACTCAAGTTTGCCTCATAGGGTACAAAATACCAGCTAGAAAAGCCCGCGTTCGACAATTTCATACGAAAACAAAATACATGCAGCAATGTTTTAATAGTCTTCCAATGGGACAGTAAAATTAGAATTACAGATTACAGCCTGTGTCCATCTTGTTCAAGGCGAGATGATGACTAAGCAGAATCCTAGACAAACTTTCATCGTACAATTTGTTGGGAATACAAATATACCTAAATGGCCAAATGTGTCTACAACAGTTCGTTTATGGAAATTTTTTCTTCTTTTAGCATATGTGATTCCTCAGAACTTTTAGGACTAATCATCCAAAATCAATTTACTTAATCAAGTCAATGACATTCACTAACTGAAACTATGCCAAGGGTAATGCACAAAAGTGGTGTTTTTCCAAAGTTTCCTGATATTATATTTGTCAGTTGATGTTACTTCATGCAAAAATTCAAATTTTTCGAGATTTACTTTTCGAGTTCTGAGTTATTGTAATTTCACACTTTCCCTTCTAAAGAAGCTTCTTTTGTTCATGAATAGTTTCTAGTACCATCCAATTCCTCGCCTCTCTAACAGCTCAAGCTTTTAGAGGATGTAGTTCAATGCAAGCATCAAGTCTGGACACCATTTGAAAACTACTGACAATGGTGGAAAGTTGAAAATGTATATGAGATGTATTTTAAAACCTGAAGTCAGAAAAATAATTGAACTTCATATCAGTGACTAATGAATTAGTGTAACAAGAATAGACGAATTTCCCAGATTTCACGATATATGCAGTATCTAGAATGGAAAATATGATATGAATAGGGTCCACAGAAGGAGCGTGATTGGAAATCTCTACATACGTAAAGTGACAGGCTTCATAACCACCTTATCGGGTCTAACAGATGCAGAAAAACTATACTTGCTTAAATCCTTCCCTTGAAGTTGTTTGTTATCCTGATCATTCAGGTCTCGCAACAATGCCAACGAATCAAAATATTCATCGGAATGCCCGGCTTGGACCACTTGAATTCTCTGAACTAGAAGAAAGTGTCTCGGGTTCTGCAAGATCATCCAATTCCAAGAAGTCACCTCTCGAGAAACATTCGACCTCCGCAAAATCATCTGGAGAAGTGTTCTGGACCCCTTTACCTATGAAATCGTATGCAGATCTTAGAAAACAGAGGACACGTAAAAACTAGTACACTGAGAAAGCCCTTGCCCCATGAATCAAGAGCCGACAAACAAGAACACGTAAAGGGGAAAAATCACACTGATCCTTAATGTTCTGTAGCTTACCGAAGCATTAAAGGCCAAATACAAACAAAATTGATGCTAAATCTTCCCACAAAATGCAAAACATTTATAAAATATATTGTTTATCCTCATCATCTCAAAGTGTAACCAATATATGCAATTGCAGTTTCTTTTCCTGCAATCCATTTCTGCAGATGTGACTGCTGCTGGCAACAGATGAGAAAATCTTGGTATATATGTCATTAAAGAGCACTCTATTTTGAAAATTAAAATAGACAGGCTTTATCTAGTTAACCTTTTAATGTTCAACTGGGAAAAAAAGTGTTAAAAGCCACTCAAGCAGTTAATTAGATATGCAGTAAAAAAAGAAAGGAACGAATATCAAACACCAGAATCACTCTCACTGAAATAAGAACATAGCACTGCATATAATGTCCCATCCAAGCAGCAATAGGAAGAAGAGAACAGCCAGAGATGGATTATATATACTAAAGACGAAAAATAAGAGATGTGAAGACATGGGAAAAAATAATGCATACAACAAAAACAAGGATGCATAGCAAACCAACCTCAGATTTGCTTAAGGAATCTTGTGCTGAGGTTTATTATTGCTCGGGTTAACTGATGCCACTGAACTATTGCATTTTGCACTAAAATCAGTCTTGTTGTAATTGGGCTGAATCTGATTTTTGGGGCTATGCGCACTGGAAAGGAAAATTCTGCAAATTGATTTAGAGTCCTGCACATTATCCAACCAAAGCGGCTTCTGAATGGTAACGTTGGAGATGATGTATAGAAGATGTTAAGGAATAGACTAATGCCAGCTAGTTGCAGCTAATACCTTTGGCTCGGTTTTATGACATAATCCCTTTTGTGTTATACTGTACTCTTGCATAAGCCAACCAGTTCTTCGTCCATTAGGGGCTTCACCTTCAAAAAATTCAAGAGTAGTTCTCCAACCACTTAATTCAGAATTCAAATATATCTCATTAGTTTCTCCTTTGGTTTTCCAAAATCCAAAGGCTGTCTCTTTTCTATCATTTGAATGAATGAAGTACCAAATTCCATCTGCATATACCCAGATTTTTGAAGTAATTATGTAGTTATCATGGTTAAATTGCAAGAAGCCCATTAAATGATCCGTGTTCATATGAGTACCAAGTCAATAACCAGGTGGCCTCAAAGTTCATGTGAAAATAGAACATAAGAAAATTATCTGATTCATCAGAAGAAAATTAACACTTTTACCTTTATTAATATGTTCACATAGAAATCCATTTCTGAGTTAACAGATAAGACAATTTTAATAAGATCTATAATTATCAAGATGAATCAAGCATTCTTCTGATTGAATCAATGAAATTTACAGATATATTAAGTTTAATAAATGTTAATTTCACTTTCAACTACTTCTAGAGAAGTACTCGACTAAAATGAATTTCTCATTGATTTTTATCATAAAAATTTTTGTCAAAAATTTAGTTTCTCATACTCCTGGAAATGTGAGAGGGTTGCAAAGTTCCTAACCTATGTTTGTATTTTTATTATCTTGCAAGTGGAATAGACATTTAACTCCCCGTGGAACCCTTTTTTTTTTTTTTTCTCTCTCTCGGTAATCTAACCTACCAAAACTAGTTTGTGACAACAAATTTGTGAGTAAATTCCAAATCTCGTAAACAATTGCAGACTCACAACCTGACGGTCATGTGAGAAAGATAACTGAGAATTTTATCCAGTCCAAACAAAAGTTCAATCGGAGAGACAACAAAAATGTATTACATAACTGCAAAAGATTAGAACTTCAAAATAACCCGGTAAATTTGAGGGATTGTACTGGTATAGGCTAAATCTGCAATCACATTATTTGGAAGAGGCGACCAACATATGTATTTATCAAGTGACAAAATGATTTGAAAATAAATTTACTCCTTTTAAATGCTGAAAACTAAAATGTCAACAGAGCTATAACCGAAGGACTATTTTATTGATTTTCTCCTTACATATCAGTAGATGATTTGCATCTCTAAGCAAGTTACTAGCCTTTCAATCCAAAACATGTTTGCCTCTCCTAATTATTTTGTTATTTTTAAATTATTATAACTTTCCCAATAGCTAGTGTCGAGTATGAGCTGCTATCATGTTACTTGGAAGAGGGGATCCACATATGTACTCATGAAGAGAAAAAATGACTTGTTCATCACTTAAACCAATTTCAAAAAACAGGGAAGGCATTGGAGGACACATGAAGAATCAAAATCAATGAAGAGCAAGAAAACTGTAATGTCTTATCTGGACCAATAAAAAACATAAAAGTAGACAACTTTAAGTTCCAGATATTAGATAAGCAAATGTATAGATGAGATATTCAGGACGTTTTATATAACTATTTAATATTTAAGTTTAAAGAAAATTAGTTGCCTTAAATTTAGGTTGTCTTATAATACATGCTGAGCATTTTATAAAATAGTGAAGAAAGAAACCAAAAATTACTATCAGAAGTTGGTGCAGTAGACTGAAGAGTCGATTTTTCAAAGTGGTTTTATTATAAAAATTTGTGCACACTGCATGTACTGTTGGTAGCCTTGGACTTAAAAATTAAGCAAATACAAACCTTGAGCCAGTGTCTCATATGACGAATATGAAAGATCTACGAACACATAATAAGTAGCGACTCTATGCACAGAATTTTACATTTTTACACACAGACAAACATAAATGTACTAGCTAGTAGGCATGCACACATGGCTATGGATCTATATACATATATAGGCATGTATGCATGTTTGAATGAATGAATGAATGAAATTGAACTGAGCAATCTATGCTAATGTATGTATAAATTTAAGTAAGAATGAAATTGGGCAAAGTGATATTAAAAAAACCCAAGAGGGTGCATTTTCTATCATTCTGAATGGTTAATACTATTTTTATCACACAACCATTGACTCATATTGACTTGAGGACTTGTCAAGAATTGGATCACCCAGCACAAAATAAATTCGGAGTCAGTAATCATCTTTGGGCTTCATAACTACAAATACCATCACAATTTGCTTATAGAATAGATCAAATAAGGCCAGGATCAGTATAATTTCGATATTTGATAAAAACCCATAAAGAAAAAAGGCTCAACCGAAAGAATTCAAGATTATGGTGCATAAGAACAGCTCTCAAATGACAATACAGAGCAACAAGAATCATTCAAACATCAAGAATATGAAGCATAAATAAACATAACAAAATACCCAAAAACGAAAAAGGATTAAAATTATCCAAAAGAATTGAGAGAAACAAAAATTAACGATTCAAAGAAAAAAGGGAAACTACTAAATTAGATCAAACTTCAAGTAGTAGTATTTGTGCCCCCTCTCCTCTTCAGATCACTTTCTGAACTGATCAAATATAAAATCAGAATTATTTTAACCTGTGAAAGTATGAAGCATAAGGAGGATCCATTGCCTGCATCACATCAAGGGCAGAGCAAGCAGCTGCCTTAACAACTTCAATGTCTCCCTGGAAATTGTAGATTGAATCAATGATCTCTCTCTGCCAATTGAAACCTTAGAACTTGTCCACTGACTTACCCTTGCTCCCCCAGTAATGGGAATACAGAGAGTGCTTGCCTGCACATCTTGGATAGCCCATGACAATGAGTTGGTGTTTTCTGTTTCAATTGAAGCCTCACTTATGAAGACATATCACCTGAACCGGTTGCATTTATGTTAAAAGCTTTAGAAGAAACCACCGAAGCAAAAATATAGCATAGAGTTTAAAGAGTGACATCCCAATTTGTATCCTCCATTAGGAAATACGGGGCAACTCATGGGTTTCCTCAGAGCCCAAGCACATACATTTTTTGGCAGTTCATACAGGCCATATTGCAGGTTTCATTAGGTAAGCTTGAAAGTTACAATCACATCCAACAGGCCCAGGTGCTGGGGCATGACAAATTGTATCAAACAGAAAGTCAGTAGGAACAACGAGAACTAAATGCTATTCAGGACAAAGTGTAATGCTGCGCACAAGTGTGTCTTTGGAACAGAATTAACTGCCGATGGTTTAAGGAAAGGTGCAATAAGTACAACTTCCTTGGATAATTTTTTCTATGTTTAGACTTCCTGTCATTCAAAGAGACTAGGAGACATTGCACTATCAAACTAGAAAGAAGAATTCAGAGTTTCACATTCCGATAACTTCCCTAATGGTCTTTCTTTGCACAAAACAGTTATTGAATTAGGTCAGGGTAATTTAAGGAATTACTAAAACACATTGCCCTGAGACGATTTGAAATAACAAAAAAGAGTGAATCTACCGATTTCTATTTTGAACTCGAAGATTTTATGCTTTCCAAAGTAGCACGCCTAAAGATGTGAGCACTCATATAACTTATTTTAAAGTGAGAATATTAGAAATATCCATGATTAACCACAGGGTTTGAGTGCTCTCCATTGCCTGCTGAGATAGCAAGAATTCTGACAGAGCTGATAGTTTCTTGAATGATGTTCAAAAGAGCTGCAAATATGCATAATTTGAGAAGCAATTTTGCAAAAGTTTGAGAATTCATTTTTTAAATTTTCTAATGATATTAGCATAGCAATCATTTTTATTTTATTTTTTTATTTTATGATACTATAAAAATTCGACCAACTTTCCCTTCTAGCAGTCACTCACGGATTTTTAAATATAGACCACAACTCAGCCTAAAGTTTTCCAGGTCTTTCTGTCAATATCTGGAAATACTATTTTATTATTAATACTCAGGAAACCAGACTCTCCCAGCTTCTATTACCTCTTCTACATTAGCATATATTTTGCAAAAGCACTTAGGTTTGCCCAGGCAATGGTCACAACTATTTACGATAGCAATCAACTATTAGTCAGAATTCAGAAACATATCGAGCACATCCCACATGAAGAAAAAGGAAATGTTTATCTTCGTCTTATGTAAAATCAGGACAGCTGCTTCTATAAAAGTAAGGCTTCGAATATCGACACAAACTAACAAGCTAATCTCACAAATCTCCTTTTATGAGGAGGAACTCCATTTTCTCCTACCTTCCCAGATTGTCTCCCATGTCCTATTTGGAATGCCAAGTGCTTCTAAACGGGATTCCATATCCGATCTCATGGATTCCTTTCCCATCTTTTAGTGTCCCACATGATCAATCAATTTAAAACATTGAATAAACGGTCACAAATACCACACCACATTGTTTCAATTGAAATGGGAAGTTGTAGTAAAAGAAGTATTACTTGATTGTTCAAAACTGTGCAGAGCTTCAACTTGAGCCTCGGTTGCTGGATGTCAATCCTTTTACTGATCACCCAATCCCGTAGATCTACAATTGTTCTCCACACCCTGTACAATGTTTTCTGCAGCATCAAAGACTTCTAATGAATTGCATCTTAATTCAATGAAAAACAAACACATACCACAAAAGGGGAAAAAATGAAGAAGACTACAATAACTAGTGAGATTAATCCAGGTCATATATAACTTCGTGTCATGATTGAGGATGGGATAGTGCACAAAAGTTGAAGCATAATAATCCCTGCTGCTCGAGAACTCATTCCATATTTTTTTCTTCAGTTGTCATGAGCAGTCACGATTATCTTACCAATAAATCAAAATCTATTCTTCAACAACTAGCTAATACCTAGCATTCACCAGATACGTCAATGAAAAAAACAGAATCCTAAAAGAAAGCAACTTCTGTTTGGGATTCTTTTTTTTTTTTTTTTGGTTGCTAAAACTATAGATTGGTAGAATGAGTGATAGATACGTTGAAAGTACTTGTGGATTTTATGAAACGTATGATTAAAACAATGTTTCACTTTAAAAATGAACTTTTTAGCCAAAAAAATTAATCCCAAACAGATACAAAATAATGCAATGTCTGAAGCAATTTGTGCATCCAAAAAAGGCCACCACAGTTACAGATCTTACATTAAAAATAACAAACTAAGGCTTACTCCAAGAAGGAACTTTGCTTACACAACAATTAAAGAAAAACCATAAGATAGGAAATTAAAAGAGAAAAGAGATGATTAGATATGTACGGAACATGAAAAAGGCATGCTGAAGTACCACAAAGATAACAACTCAAACCTCTGCTTTTACTTTCTGAACACACAATGCAGCATCTACTCGAGCATTTGCATATAGCAGCCTCAATTGATGAACATCTTCTATGTGATTTGCTGCCTTCCTTCCTTTCTTAATATCAGCAATCTGGGGTCAATTGCTGATACATTTCTCATACTTCCTCTGGGAAGCCACACACTACTTATATACAATGTACTTTCTGGTTATGAGGATCTGACGTTTGTCCAACAAAGTGGAGGTTGCAGTTGAATGAATAAATCAAGCAGCCAAAGTTTTGTTTAGCATAAGAATGGTATTCAATTTTGTATATGAATGTAACAGAAAATAATACAATTAACGCTTTTTGCTAAATTGTTGGTTTGCACCATGATGATCAAGCCAATGCCTCATATTATGCAAACAAATATCTTGATTTTTATTTTATTTTTCCAAATAAACTATTGACAGTGCAGCTCATAGAGCAGAATAAACACTATTTTTGTTAGTCTAAAACCAAAAAGAAAAAAAAAATGTTGAGCATCACGGGAATTTTTCAGTGTAGGAAAAAGAAAAGAAAAGATGTACATGACGAAACAACAGCAATAAGAGAATCTATTAGGCTCTAATATGTTCTGAGACTGACCAAATAATGTAACTTGGTCAGAGGTTTTCTTATATCATTGTCTGAATCAATTTCTTCTCTTTTCTTTTATTCCATTATGAAATCAATAATGAGCAAAAATTTATTAATTCTTACACAAAGCTGATCAAATCTTAGCAAAATAAAAGGTAAAAAGTTATCAAAAGATACCATCTCTCTCTCAAAGCAGCTCCTCAATCAACTGCATCTTCAATGAGAAGACGTGCTGTCATCAAAAGTATATGTGAGCACTGGAAAAACCTGTTCTGAAAATAGCTGGTTGGTTAGCATTCTAACATCCAGGGTAGGCAAAAAGGTTCATTCTTTTCATAACAAAATACGAGGTAGAACAAGTACAGATATTGTTTGTTATTCATCCCTTCAAGAATTTTTTTTTATTTAATCCGTATGAATTAATAGAAAAGTCAAATCCCTTATGAGTTCCTATGATATGTTTGTGGCTAGAAAATATGAATAATGTCTATATGAAAAGAATTTAGAATGGAGTTTCTTGATTGATGATAGCTTGTTATGCCAGGAAAACAATAATTAAAGAGAATCTCCCTTTCCCTGTGTGATAATCTTCATCAGTACACAAGTACTACCAGTAGTCTCCACAAGAACAAGTGCCGTCTTCAAAATGATGAAACCTATTAGCATCCCTCACGACGATTATTCTCTCAGTGATTTTAGATACAAATTTGGTAAAATTATGGCAGTCAAGGCAAACCCTAAGGTTTTTAATTATTCTAATCTCTTCTCCCGGTTCAGATGTTATAAGACCAAAAACAATGGCCAACTTCTCGCTATGAACTTTCACCATTAGCTCCTTCTCTTCTTCCTCTACATCATGCAATGCTGTGATGGTCTCCATCTGGTATCCAACATCCCTCATTTTATCTATTAACTTTTCAAGCATTGCATAAATTGATTTTGATTCTGGGTGGGACCAGTCACTAGACATAAAGACATGAGGGTGTCCCTTGACCTCAATCAAAGTGCAACCAGGGGTCTTCACCAGATTTCTTTTCTTAACAACTTCACGTACTAAAGCAGCCCAAGAGTAATTATGCTCGGTTGAGTATATGTTTGACAGTAGAACATTGTATCCTACATTTTCAGGATCCAGTTCAAACAACTTATCAAATGCCAAATGAGCTAAGTTAGTATCCTTGTGAATCACGCAAGCGCCCAGCAGTGCACCCCATTCTGCAGGACCTGGCTCAATTAGCATACCATTTATAAATTCCAGGGCATCTTGCAATTTTCCAGCTCGGCCAAGGATGTCCACCATGCATGCATAGTGCTCGGGACTGGGCTTGAAGCAGTGTTCATGGACCATTGAATGGAAAATTTTCTCTCCTTCTGTTACCAAGCCAGCATGACTGCAAGCATACAAAATGGAAAGGAAAGTAACCCCTGTTGGGGGAACTGCAGAACATAACATCTCATCAAAAAGCAGTAGTGCTTCATGTCCATGTCCATGTCCATGGAGGCCATACCCAGAAATCATAGCATTCCAAGTCACCACATTTTTATCCCTCGTCATGTCAAATAATCTCCTCGCTTCCTTAATGCTCCCACACTTCGCATACATGTCGATCAAAGCTGTGGCCACATAGATGTTAGACTCAATACTCTCCCTCTTAATCAAGTCATGGACCCATTTTCCCAAACTTAAAGCACCAAGTTGAGAACATGCAGATAGTATACTGGTAATTGTGACAGGATGTGACAGGATTTGGATTAATATCAAGATTCTGCATTTCACGAAAAAGTGAGAAAGCCATTTTGGGCATAGCCTGATATCGTGGAGTTCCAAGATGCCAAACTTTTAGCTGCTGACTCATCAAAAAGCTTCCTGGCAGATTCTATCTCATTCAGCCGACAATAAACTGTAGTCAATGCAGTAGAAACAGAAGAAATAAAAATAACGCCGTACTTTACACAAAACCCATGAATTAAACTCGTAAGTTCCAAATGACCAAACGGATGGAACACTGGGATTAAACCGACCATAGTACTTGAATTAACTTTTTCCACTGAAAAAAGCAATTCTTTGAATAGCTGAACTGATGACTCGGTTTTGTTATTAAAAGAATAACCAGAAATCATTGCATTGTATGCAATCAAATCCGGCTTCCCAATTAACTCAAACAATACCCGAGCAGTCAAAAATGTCCCCACATTTCGAATATAAAGAAATCAAACCAGTAAGCACATGCTCGTGAAAATGGCAACCAACCTATAAGCCAAAGACTGAAGCATCATCCCAAAACTCATCTCCTGCAACTCAGCTATACCTGAAAGAACCACGGCTAATGTAGTTGAGTCAATCCGCATTGTCCTCTTAACCATGCCATTGAAAACCTGGATAGCCTCATCATAGCAACAATTTTTCACCAACCCAGATATCACAGTGTTCCAAAGAACCGTATCTGGATCGGATACTCCACCAAACGCCTTATATGCATATCCAATCCGTGACAAATTCATATACATTAATACATATCAACCAAAGCCGAGCCCACAAACAAATCCGTGCCAAAGCCAGATATTATTGCCTGCCCATGAAGCAAAACGCCAAATTTCTCAGACCCAGATAACGAAGCCCCTGAAAATGCAAAAATAATAAAAGAGTAGGTAAAATTATCAGGAACTAAGGTGGTTTGTTGGCGTAGATTTTTGTACACAAGGAGAGAATCAAAGGGGTATGCTTTAAGGCCTTTAATAAGGACATTGTAGAGGAAGAGGTCAGGTGATTTCGTGTGCGTAAAGAGGAGCTTAGCTTGGGCTGTAGCTTTGAGGTCCAGGAGTTTCTGTACCAGTTTTGTTATTGTAATGTTGTCGTTCAAAATATTGTTGTGGATAATTTGGGCGTGGGTTTGGTTGAGATGCGAGTGTGTTTTGGCCCTGTTTATTAGGCTGAGGAAGAAATTTCCGTCCCTTGATACAGTGGCTCTGCAAATCATTGGGAAACTGAAAACTAATACCAAAACTGAAAACCTGACCGTTTTATGTAGGAACCTTGTAGGGACAGCACAGCAAATGAAAAGAATTCGGCGGGAGTTTTATCATGTATTTTACTATAATTATTAGGAAAAAATAATATTTTGAATATTGATTTTTAGAATAATGTGTGATTAAAAAGTAGTATAAAATTTTAAATTTACGTATAAAATATTTTATTTTGTGAATGCTGTTAAAATTGACTACGTAAAAAAATGTTTTCAAATAATGATTCAAAATGAATATGTAAGGAAAAAAAATTTCAAATAAAGATAGTTAAACAGGGGCTTAATTATTGAAGTTTTATCATTTTTATAGTAAATTTTAATATTAATTTGTCAAAAATTAAATTCTAGATTATTAATTGAGTCTTGGACAAATAAATTTTACACAAAACTTAGAGACTAATGTTAAATTACGATGAAATAAAAAGAAATACAACGCATTTAAGCATTATTGAAATACATCCTTGTGCGCCAAGGATTTTTCAAATTGCTTATTCATTTACTCTTAGGACCTATTTGATAGGTTGAGTTTTCTATGAAAAAATTCCATTTTCCACCAAAATGACATATTTGATAGCAAATTTTTCCATGAAATTTGTTTTCCTTCAATCCCTTCACGTGACCTCCTTTTCCATGGTTTTATGGAATTAGTTTTCTTTGGGTGTTGGAGGGAAAATGTTTTTCCAGCTTCTTTTTTATTTTTTCAACAATGAAAATAAATTCTATCCACAATTTCAAAAAATTCCATCCCTTTAATTGTTAATTTTCATGGAATACAAAATCAAACGAATACAAAAGATCCAAAATTTCAACATTTTTCAGGTAAAAAATTATACCAATCGAATACATTTAATTGACAATTCCCATTAAAACAAGTTTTAGGCAATTTAGGCCCTGTTCTCTTTATCGTTTTCGGGTCGTTTTCTGTTTTCGATTTTTCAAAACGGTGAAAACGTGTTCTCTTTCCCGTTTTCGAAAACGAATTTTCGAAAACGAAAAAAAATTTGTGAAGAAAACACAAAACGACTTTTTTGTCGTTTTGGGCGTTTTCAGTGTAAAACTTGAAAAAATTGAAAACGCGGGAAACACTTTTCTTTT